AAAATTTTTTTAAAAAATTTTAATTTTTCATAAAAGTAAATCAGAAGGGAATTTGTAGTAAATAAGCAGGCAAATTTACCTGCAAACCTCTACAATCTAAGGGATAAAAAGCTGTTCAAATCTATTGATATAATAAATAATAATACATATATGTATTGAATACTACAAAAATTTGAATAAATTTAAGTATGACTCTAAAAATATAAATTGCATATGTAATAAGTATTTCAAAGATTTTACTAGATCTGAAAATTCTGAACATTCAAATTTCAGAGTATAAAATGAAACTAAAATTAAAAAAGAATTTAAATATTGTAATAAGTTGAAGTTTTAAAAAATAGATGTTAATATTTAAATATTAATTTATTTTTTTTTTATTTATTTATTTATTTTTTTTTAGGAAAAAATTTATATAATAGAACTATTTCTTCTAATACAGATAACTCTGAAAAAAGCTGTAATAATAATATTAAAATAGCTAAAAAAGATGCTAATAGAAAGAGTATAGATATAGTTATAAATCAAGATATCGAAGTTACCAGTGCTAAGAATAGCAAAAGTAAGGATTTTGTTTCTTATTTAGATGAGTAGAATAAGGCAGCAATGAAGAAGAAATATAAGGATATTTTTTTATTTTTTTATGAACAATGAATGTACTAAATAAAGATATTAAGTAATTAAAAAGAAAAAAATTATCAATTATTATTATTAGTCAATTAAAGTTAAAATCTTATTGCTATGTATATAAATAAGATTAGTTTTATAAGATTTCGCTACATGTTATTACCGTATAAATTAAATATGGCAGTAATATTACATAAATAAGATTATGTTTAATCTGATTAATTATTTTAGCTTAGTTTGATTGAAAATATAATCAATGAAAAATAAATTAATATATAATTAAAGAAGGCTTATACAAATTTTTACTTTATAATTTTAATATTAATAAATTGATGTTAGATGATTACATAAGACGCAAATTATGTATTTATAAATTATAAAAATATAATTATCTTTTTATTTAGTTCATAAAGTTTACGCAATATTACACTTAAAGTATTTCACAATATTTACTGATCATAATATTTGTGAAATACCTCCAGTCGAAGTACTTTAAATATTTATGTTCTGTAATATTTACACAAAATTATGGGCTAGTGCTTTACATGATTTATTGTCTATAATATTTATAAAATACTATGATTGAAGAATATTGCAGGATTTATGGTTTATGATCAAAATAAACCACAGAATCAAGTTTATTAATTAGTATTATAAAGTAAATATTAGCTTATAGACTTACTTTTTTTAATGATTACCTGATTAATTATCTAATATCATTTATTTGATTTAATTATCCAATTTAGTTTCAATTAAACAATGCAATGCATAACGCATGATAATTTATTTTAAAAAAAAAAAATACTAAAAATACAAAAAAAATATAAAATTAAAAATTAAAATTAAAATAAAAAAAATAAAAAAATAAAAAAGATTGCAAAAATTATAATAAAAAATTAAAATAACTAAAAAAAATAAAAATTTAAAAAAAATCGTAAAAATTAAAATTAAAATAAAAAATAAAAATAAAAAAAATTAAAATTAATCTCTTCTATCCCTCCTCCTATCTCTCCTTCTGTCTCTTCTATTACTCTTATTTTTTCTTTTTGATCCACTTCTAGTCTACTTCTACTTTTTCTTAATCTATTTTTTCTTCTACTTTTCGATCTACTTAAACTACTGCTACTTTTTTCTCTACTTCTTTCTTTCATATTTTCCCTTCTTCTACTTTGATTTCTATACTCAAGCCATCTTCTGTCTACCTATTACCTAATGTAAGATCTTCTTATAGGATCTATAAATAAAAAATTAATTAATATATATATTAAATAAAACAAATAATAAAATTTATTAAATTATCATAATTACTTTGAGGCAACCAAAATTCCTCTTTCATCATTTCATAAAACTCTATATCATATCTATTAGGACTTCTTAATAGAAGACCTTTAGAATTTTCTATTCTGATTTTTCTTATATTTTCATACTTGCAAATTAACACATTCTACTTAATCTAGCATTATCTTCAAGAGACTGATATGAGATTATTTGCATTAATTTATTAGGATATTTGATCCCAAATGCTGGCATGTTTATTATTGCTCGCATTTTTGAACTCTGCTCAATAATCATATTTTAAATTAATTAAATCTTGGATCATATCGAAGGTTCAAATACTTGCTGACATTTTTGAATTTTTTTTAATGAATAAGTTGTAAAAAACTTATGAATATTTATACACAAAAAAATTATTAAATCATATTATTATCATTTTTACATTTATCACAAAAGTCAAAATTCGAAATCAAATATAATACATGTACATGTGCAGATTTATTATTATAAAAAATTATTTCTGTATTGAAACTTTTAATACATTTAAGAAAAATATTAACAAAAATTTTTACTAATAAAAGAGACATTCCTACATAATTATATATTAATTGTATTTAAAAATTTTAAATTATCATTTCTGCATAGTTATTTATTGAAACTTTTAATACATTTAAGAAAAATATTTTTATTAATTAAACAAAAATTTTACTAATAAAAGGTGTCATATGCCCTAATTCAGATATTTCAGATGACTGTTCATTAAAATAATAAAAAAAAAGGATCTCCTATATAGTTATACTTTAATTACGTTTAAAATTTCAAATTACTAAATATATCAGTTAATTGTTATATAAATCATTCTTGTATAATTATTTTATTAAAACTTTTAATATATTTAAGAAAAATATTTTTATTAATTAAACAAAAATTTTTACTAATAAAAGAAGTCATACGTTCTAATTCAGATATTTCAGATGACTGTTCATTAGAACAATAAAAAAAATCACATTTAAAATTTTAAATTACCAAATATATCAATTAATTATTATATAAAATCATTCTTGCATAATTAGGTTAAAAAAAAATTATTAAAATTCATTAATTAAATAAAGTTTTAGACTAAAAGAATTAATTTTTAAATTTTACCTAAAAAGATTCAAAATAATTAATTTGACATAATGGATAATTTACTTTAAATCTACTTATTTCTTATACAGTAGCGGTCATAAGTATCCGACCGCCTCTAACTCCGGCTACAAGTAAGTAAATTCAAAATTTTTTTT